GCTCCGTGATTTCATTGATTTTTCGTAAGTCAAGGGTGATGCGGATTTCGCCTGAGTCCTTGGGGACAACGTGTATAGGCGAATTCCATGCTGAGGTACTTTCCTCACATATACCGGCCTTCACAAGTTCGCTGATTTTTTTTTTAAGAGCAGGTAAGTAGTTGCAGGGGATGCGGTACTGCTTTACATTCACCGGGCATTCTGAGGTTAATTTAACCGAATGCACATAATTATTTGTGCCGGATATATCAGTTATTTCTTCAGCAATAGCGTCGGGATATTTCCCCAGCACCTCAGTTACTCTTCCTTTTATTCTATCACCAAGGTGATCTAATTTCCAAGCATTAGCCTTAAATTCACTCTTATTATTAATGTTTACGAAAAGCTCCTGACTTCCTGTCCTACTGGTCTCAATTACTGGTCTCACCTCAGTTAAAATTTCTGGATACTGGCTAATAACATCCATCCCTAATATGAGGTCATAATTGGCACCTGCCGGGAATTTAACGCTAGGAATCCTCATTTCAATCGTGTTCTCATCACAAAACCCACACCTTACTGCCAGGGCTTCGTCACTCTCAATTATTGCCCCTGACATTCCGCTAATGCACGAATTGTCTCGAACAATCCAACCAGGGTTTTCATATTTTGCCCACTCAGCAAGTTCACTCCTAACGACTGTCCTCTCGGCTCCCGTATCTATCAACCCACTAACTCTCTGTCCTACTAATCTGCCAATAATGATCGGTAGCCCTCTCATATTCAATTGCACATTCTTGGTCAGTTCCAAACTAGCCAGCAGGTCATTAGCCTGACCTTCCAAATGACCGCCAACTAGTTTAAACGTTCCCTCTTTCTGCATTGCCGGGAAAGGTGACCCTTCTCACCGCATGAGTAACACCTCCGATCTTCCTTCGAGTTCCTCTCGGAACGTCTCTCCGCCTTGACATAATCAACCACAGAAGACATAGAGTCGCTCAGTTTCTTAATTTGAACCTCTAGTTCAGTTACCCGGACATCTAATTTGTCACGCTTCTCATTAGGACATACCTCCTGTTCCAGACTAATACATATTTTACTAACTCCCCGCTTGTTACATGCATCTTCTATTTCCTCTTCTTCCTCGGCTTTAACTATTGCCTCATCCAAAGTTCTCGGCCGACCCTGCATGACCTGTTTCCGAATTTCAGGTACCAACCCTTCCATAAAGCACTCCTTGACCGTGTTATCTCTTATCGTAGCCAAATTGGGATTTCATGTTACAGCGTGCGAAAACAGAGTTTTAAGTCGTCTACCATACTCGCAAACCCTTTCTCCCTTCTTCTGGGATATTTTTAGTACTTGATCCAAATGATTCCTTTCCCTTTCTTTGTGCCCAAAGCACTTTACAAGCTCCTTCTTTATGTTTTCATATCCCTCAATCCCTTGGTCCCTTAAATCAAAGAAAACAGACAAGGGCTCACCTTTGAGACGGGCTTGCATCACTGAAATCTTCACCTTTTCGTCCCAACTTGCTAGTGAGGCTACATTTTCCACAGTCTGGAAAAACCGGCCGACGTCTAGCATGTCACCAGGCAGACTTGAAAAACATGGAATCATACCCATGAATCCAGTGACAATAGGTACGTTTCCAACGTCTACCGCTCCTGATACTTGTGAACCACTGGTGACTTGTTCTTCCATCTTACTTTCACACTACTTTATACGATCCTTAAGGTAATAGGCACAATTTACGAGAAAAAAAAAACTGGAGTACGTACAATCTAATGCCTCGACAAATTTTCACAATTCAAAAAAAATATATATAGTCCTCTTACAAGGAGTCACCCAATTACAAAGAAATACAACTTCTCTGATCCTGTCGCGGACGCCAATGTATAATAATCAGATATATCGGAATATATTGATTATGGGTGTAAGAAAACAAAAACAAATGAGGACTGTACAATGGCACTTTGAATGAAATTTTCTTTTAATAACAATTCGTAATTCATTCCATTATCGGTCTGCCTTACATAGGTAGGTAGATATTGTGAATACAAAGAGAAAAAAAAACTTACTTCTAAATTCTAAGCTAAAACGACTTAATTCTATATACAATCATTTACATGGTGGTACACACGTGTTGCTACTATACTCCTTTGTTCTCAGTCCGATCTCCTTGCACATCTCTGCTCGCTCGTCCATCCGTCCGTCCTTGTAGCACCAATCCAACATGAAAAGAGAGAGAGAGAGTTCTTGCACACACGAGACAGTCTCCTTTTATACCCCTCTTCACGTGACCTTTTGTTCTCCACCAATCAGTCCGCACCCCCCTTGCGCAGCAATAGGAGTGACCCGACATAGTCTTCCGCGTACAATCACACAAAGAAAACAAAACATAGTTCTTGACACGTGGAAATTCATTTACACAAATTATAATAAAATGGAAGAGTACATAAATAAAAAACCAAAGTAGCGTAGCACTACACAAGTGAAAAATACAATTATAGATATGCATTACTATGCTAGAGGTCAATGATCTAGCCTATATGCATTTATAATTATTACTACTGGCCCTAACTCAAATGCTAAACGATCAAGAGTTTACATCTATTTTATCATACCTCTAGTTGGAGTAGTGGCCATTGATTCGGCACCAAGTTATTCATGATTCGGCACCTATAATTTTGTAGTGATTTGTATAAAATTATAGGTAATCATTTGGGACTATAATTATGGTAGGACAGAAGTTGGCATGCTCTTCTAAGTATGTCCACCCCAATATGGCGAGATGAACCTCTGTTGTCATCTCCTAGGTATGTCCACCCGTCAGTAATAGATGTCTGGCTGTTATATATGTATTCAGTGTTTGGAATCTGATCAGGTAACCATTTGTTTGGTAGTGCTGACATGTCTGTTTGTTAGTGATAGTCTAAGGAGGAAATCTATAAACAAAGTTAATTATCAACTTTCTCATATTTGACAGTTGACCATTATAACATATTTGCATTAATTTCGTTACTAAGCTTAATTGTGCTAATAAAGGTTGCAGCATTACTTCTTGCTGCATGCAGATGGCTACACTTGGTCAGCCATATTCTGCAAACAAAATCAGCTAAGCAGATAAATTCCCTGACTTTCCATTACTTTTTCCAAACACTAACAAAAATTCCCAATTTTCCAGGTACGTAGGAACCCTGTATATTATGATTTTTTGATAGAATTCATATTAAAATAGAATAAAACAGGGTTGAATCTGCTTATTGTAATAATTTTAGGAAATACCTGTTTTAATCATGATAAATTTAAATGCTCAAACATCTAAATAAAAATAGCAAAGTAGTTTAAAATAAATGCCAATAATTTAAGCATTTAATTAAATAAAAAAAAAAGTGTCTAATAAATTAGAAAAATCAAAAATAATGAATAAATAGTACTGAAAAAAATCTATTTAAACAATTGTGTTTCAAGATAAACTTTTATAAGAGAAACAGATACATAATGCATATTCTTGCACACATTTCAAACATACAAAAAAAAGTAAGATATTTTATAAGTTTGATAAAATCTAACTGAAGAATATGTGAAACAAATTACATGTACAGTGAAAACTGCTTAGGTGACCACCTGCATTCGACGGGCACCTGTCAAAACGTGCAAAAATTTCTGGCACGGAATAGTTTATCCATAGAGTCTTCGTATAAGTTACCTGTATTAAACGACCACCTGTGTAACGCAATCGCAGGCATCGCTTTTTGGTCCGAAACAACATACAACACCTGTAATAAGCGACCACTTTCGCGAATGTATCTGGTCTAAACTATTGTAAGAACCCATCTCAATAATGTTTCCACCTCCTAATATAATGAATTAGCCTAAACTCTCGTTGGAACCCACCCGGGGCACTTCTCCCACCCTCGAAATTAGGTGCAGGTGTTAATAAATTAGTCTAGCAACAAAGGAAATTCATTTCAGATTGTTGGAAAATGTCCGAAATGCAAAGGGCTGTCGTTAGAAAATCATATTAAAGTTATCACAACAGCAATTAGCGGCAAAGTTTAACTGTGGGAAAACAAAATTTATTTTACCCTAGACCTACAGTATTTTCCTTGGGGGTGTAAAATATAGTACACGATACAATTAATTAATCGGTTGATCTCATCGTTTGATAAATCTATTTTTATTTATTTATTTTGAAGTTCATATACAGTACGTATGCGATAAATAGTTTCTGTATCAACCTACCTTATTTCCACGATATTTTTAGAAAAATAATATCCAAGTAATTTTCGCAGGCAAAATATTCAAAAAACAATAAACGCATTAATGCAAAAATCAGTTTTACTTCCTTTTTCGATTCCGCGATTGTAATGAAATTGTATGATGAGAAAAAATAAAATCATTTTATTATTAATTAATAATATTTCTTATTGTACTTAATTAATTAAGAAAATATTAAATCTTAAAAAAAAATACAATATTTTTAAAGTTAAAATAAGATTAAACTAACAAAAAGCAAAGTGATGGAGAGATAGGACGCGGTTTTATATTGATGATGTAATACACGTAACAGAGAAATGAACGAAAAGAACAGAGTCAAATTAATTAAGTTTGAAAAAAGAAAGTGTGCATTATAATCGAGAAAATGCAAGTATTGTATTAATCTTTAAAATATTGGTGTTAAGTCTGTCTTGTAATATCATGACGACTCCTGTAAATCGGGTTATCCGATAAGAATAAAATGCAATACCAATATAGCCCTATCGTTGAAAAAATTCGCTTATTTTTGCTCGCCTCGAGTTTTGCTTAGTAGAAATGGCTAAAAAGTGTGCAAAATACGTACTGAAATACGGTATTACAGCACGACATGAATTGGACGACCACCTGTCTAAAAAACCGCTTTTTGAAGGAACCGTGGGTGGTCGCCATAGACAGGTTTTACTGTATGTTTTAAGAGTACACATATACAGAAATTACATATTAACAAACATATGTAATGCTATTATATATAAACTAACCTTTGTAATTCCTTTAATTTCTCCTTGAATCTGACAGCTACCAGGTGCAAGAGTTTGAACAACATAATATGTTCCATTATCAGATGAATAAGAAACTTGGAAATGCAAATTGGAAAATGTAACCTCCACTTTTATGTTCTGTAAATAAATTAAATATTGATTCATTGAACATTATATTTTGAGTTGGTTAGTTATGTCATATTTTCCATGTTTTAAATATTTTTGTTATTTTGTACAGATACCACAGGAATAAAATCAGGGTTAAATAATAATTAATTTTTGCATATGATATATATGAGGATAAGTCAATATATTTTCACAAAACAAATAAGAAAAAAAAATTATTTGACTGAAATTTATTATTACTTTTCAACATAATTCTCCTACACGGCGATACGGAAGAAAAAGCCTCTGATACCTCCACCCACAATCCCAACGGACACCGGTTATACCACAAATCTCCAGGACACTTACCAGGCTATCTTCAAGGAACTGTTTCCTACAGACGACCCGCTGTTGGACAACAACAACCACAGCGACATCAGAAACAGGAGCCACTCCACCCCTCATACTGAGGAGGACCAACCCTTCTCCTTCCAAGAAATCAAAAAAGAATTCGACAACATCAAAAGGAAAAAGGCACCGGGCCCAGACATGATTGACTGGCGCATGGCAAAACATGCCTATGCGGCCATCCCTACCACCTTCTCCGTACTGTTCAATAAATGTCTACAACAAAGATACTTCCCGAAGCCTTGGAAAACGGCAACAGTCAAGCTCATCCCAAAAAATGGTGAGGCCCAACCAAATTCTCCTAACGACTACAGACCGATTTCCCTCCTGGCCGTGCTTGGTAAGGTCCTGGACGGTCTAATGGGCGGCAGGATCCTCTACCATTTGGACAGCAAAGGAGCCCTCCACCCTGCCCAATATGGCTTCAGGAAAAACAAGAGTGCACATCAAGCCATCAGTAAGATAACCGACTACATCAACACAGCAAAGCAGGCCGGTAGGCACACCCTTCTGGTAGCTATTGACTTCAAGGGTGCGTTCGACCACGCCTGGTGGCCGACCATCCTCACCTCTCTGGCTGACTCCCACTGTCCCTCAAATGTCTGGGGCCTTCTTCAAAGCTATCTCTCTGAAAGGACGGCCATGGCCACTAACCTGGACAACATAGTCTACACAACACCGATTTCCAGGGGATGTCCCCAAGGGTCCAAATCTGGCCCCTTATTATGGAATGTGCTATACAACGGCCTCCTGCATGTCACAGAAAAGGTGCCTCTAGAGGGAAACCCTTATATCCAAGGCTTCGCTGACGACACGGTGGTCCTCCTCTCACACCAGAACCAGGAAACCCTACAAAAGCTAACCAACGTGGTCCTCCAAGCAGTATATGATTGGAGCGAGAACAACAAACTCCTCATCAACTACAACAAAAGTAACTGCATCTGCTTCCCAAAAGCCAACATCCTTAAGAANATATTTTTAGAAAAATAATATCCAAGTAATTTTCGCAGGCAAAATATTCAAAAAACAATAAACGCATTAATGCAAAAATCAGTTTTACTTCCTTTTTCGATTCCGCGATTGTAATGAAATTGTATGATGAGAAAAAATAAAATCATTTTATTATTAATTAATAATATTTCTTATTGTACTTAATTAATTAAGAAAATATTAAATCTTAAAAAAAAATACAATATTTTTAAAGTTAAAATAAGATTAAACTAACAAAAAGCAAAGTGATGGAGAGATAGGACGCGGTTTTATATTGATGATGTAATACACGTAACAGAGAAATGAACGAAAAGAACAGAGTCAAATTAATTAAGTTTGAAAAAAGAAAGTGTGCATTATAATCGAGAAAATGCAAGTATTGTATTAATCTTTAAAATATTGGTGTTAAGTCTGTCTTGTAATATCATGACGACTCCTGTAAATCGGGTTATCCGATAAGAATAAAATGCAATACCAATATAGCCCTATCGTTGAAAAAATTCGCTTATTTTTGCTCGCCTCGAGTTTTGCTTAGTAGAAATGGCTAAAAAGTGTGCAAAATACGTACTGAAATATGGTATTACAGCACGACCTGAATTGGACGACCACCTGTCTAAAAAACCGCTTTTTGAAGGAACCGTGGGTGGTCGCCATAGACAGGTTTTACTGTATGTTTTAAGAGTACACATATACAGAAATTACATATTAACAAACATATGTAATGCTATTATATATAAACTAACCTTTGTAATTCCTTTAATTTCTCCTTGAATCTGACAGCTACCAGGTGCAAGAGTTTGAACAACATAATATGTTCCATTATCAGATGAATAAGAAACTTGGAAATGCAAATTGGAAAATGTAACCTCCACTTTTATGTTCTGTAAATAAATTAAATATTGATTCATTGAACATTATATTTTGAGTTGGTTAGTTATGTCATATTTTCCATGTTTTAAATATTTTTGTTATTTTGTACAGATACCACAGGAATAAAATCAGGGTTAAATAATAATTAATTTTTGCATATGATATATATGAGGATAAGTCAATATATTTTCACAAAACAAATAAGAAAAAAAAATTATTTGACTGAAATTTATTATTACTTTTCAACATAATTCTCCTATACCTCCAGATGCTTATCTCATTGTTTCATAATCCTTGAAAGTGGCAGCAAAGCAGGTTTTTGGATCCTCCTGTAGCCAGTGAGTGATCCCAACAGAAATGTAATGATCAAAACAATGGAAATCACTAGTGGCTAAAGTCTGAATTATAAGGTGGACATTTTAAGTGTTCCCAACTGAAAGTTTTCAATATCTGCTACATTAGTCTGATTTTATGAGGACAAGCATTGTCATCCAAGAGAATCATGTCTGCATGCAGGAGACCAGGGCATTTTCAGCAAAAGGTGTCACAGTATAAGGTGGCCTACAGAAAATGTGCAACAATGACACACAACACACTCACTATGTTAAAGCAACTGTAGTTAAATAACAGTGGATTATATTGTTGATTCTGATTTCTTGATGGGCATTGCAACCAGCAAAAAAAATGCATGCAGATTTTAAATGGCTTTCAATCTATGCAGATTTATGACGTATATTGACTCCTCATATATTTTATTAAATTTAAATTCAACTATTACTTACATCTGATAGATAAATTTGGTGGTGTTTTGAATCATATAATTCAATATAAACTGTATATGTTGTCTTCTCCTGTAGAGACCATTTATTTCCTGGTGATACTTTAAATACTAANCCCAGCGAAGCGGGTCCTTGCAGCTAGATTCTAGATTAGTTAGAAAAGCAGTCTTTTATATATAAAAAAAAACTATATTACATACAAATGTACGAACGAATAAAAACCCAGCAAAGCGGGTCCTTGCAGCTAATATGAAATAAAAATGCATTTTTATTGATCATTTTTACAGCACATCTTTCAATTCAAAATTCTTCAAATATAAATATTTTCAATCCAAGACACTATAAGCAATTTGTAATTTTGTAATTGATTTTTAGAAATAAAAAGAAAAAAGTATGACAATGTAAGTCAGCCATATGAGAATTCTGTGTAGTTTTTAATTTTATAATAAGCATAACAATATTATATTTTTATTATATTTAATTGATTAATTTATAATCATACTTTGATAACCACTGTTTTAATCCAATGTAAAATAAACATTAAGATAATTTTATTTGGTGATACTACTGCTTTTAGATTTATGTATTTTTTTTATATTTAGTTCATATTTATAAATTTAAAGATCTCCAATCATTAAAACTATTTACTAGTTCTTTTTTCATTATTGCTAAAATCAGTTTACTTACTATGAGCTTTTCTTTGCTTTATTAATTCTACCTGATATTGAATTGTCATTTCAGGTAATATGTACACATCAGAAGGTGGATTAAGAACTAAATTTGCAACAACAATTAATGTTATCTCTGATGATTGAAGATCCTAAAAATTAAAACAAAATTTACTGAGAACATATTTGAAACTAGAAGACAACATACACTGGTATCTTCAGCCATGAAAATTAAAGTTTGTTGTTTTGAATTTATGAATACACTTTCAAGAAAAATATTTTATTTAAGAATCCTACTTAACAAGAATAAAATGAATATTTTGATTTATCATAAGAGAACTGGTTTGTTTTTAAAAACCTTAAATTTGATGATTCAAAGTTAACTTATATATACAGTAGAGCGTCAATTTTCCNGTTTTGACTCCTTCTAATAACACTTTTGATCCATGCAATCCCTGTTGTTCCCAAAAATCAATAGCAGGAGGAGTTTTAAATGCAGAATCAGCAAACTTTAAAAATCTGAATTTAAAAATAAATTAAATTTTATTTAAGTAAACAATTTACAGATATTTTCAAAATGTTTGAATTAGTATACATTCAAAATATTCTGAATATTTTGAATATCACGTATCAATACAGTTCAGAATATCATGCAAATATGCATTTTCTGAAGCCTTACCGCAAAACATTATTTTCGGATGGTTTACCAAAACGATCTGTAATAATCCATTGAAATGAAACACCATCAAGACAAGAGAATGTATCTCCTAAAATTAAATAATTATATTTCAGTACTTTTTATTATTAATCTTAAATATTCTAGTAATTAAATTAAAACATTAAGTGTATTTATTATAAAGTATAATGGAATAGAGAAATTTTTAAACTCAGCATTGTATATAAAATATTTTTCATAATTAAAAAATAAGATACAAATAATATGTGAATAATAGAAAAAACAAAAACACTTCTCTCTCTTTATATAAATTTTCTATTTGCAAAATGTGCTGATTCTGAAACTCATACTTCCTGGGAATATCATACTGAGACAATTTTTTCATGGAATGGTTCTCAGTTGATGAGCCCATATACACTTCCTTCCAGGCTGTTTTTATTTAGATGTAAAAATTGAAATTCTACATACTTTTGATTTTACATTTGTTCTTCTCCAAAAATGATTTTAAGACTTTTGAAGAATGATAAAGATTTATTTTGAATTTAAGACATCATATTCAAATTTTGGGTTCAAAAACTTGTGAAAAAGTGTACCTTAAAATTCATTGAACTGGCATTGAAAAGCATTTGTATTTAAATTATGTATTATGCTAGATGTTATATTCTATATTGAAATTTAAGTTTAATTTTTTAAGTTATTTTTTCCATGGAGGAAAGAAAAGAACTATCAATGTAAATTTTTAAATTTTGAAAACATAATGACAGCTGATGACAATTAGCCTATTAATCAATGATAAAATTTTGTTGGATTTTTTAAAATGTAATATTTTCAAACATTTTGGCTTTAAATTCAGCTATCTTCAGGATATATCATTCCATAATGTAGTGTTTAAATTTAGGATCTTCCATTCTTTCAAATGTGTTTGCATCTGAATTTTTACATACATCTAATATGTTAAACAAAATATATAAAAATTAACAAAATAAAATAGTGTATTTTCCTGGGTGTTTATTTTGGAAAATGTATGTATTCCTTGGAGTTATTTTGAAGCTGAGGTTTTTTTTCTCTTACAACAGGAAATGAATGGTAAAAACTAGAAGAAATATCTTAATTGCTCTTACATTTTCTGAAGTATCAAAACTGAAAATTTATTGACTGTATTTATGGGTTACAGCTACACTATTTGAAATTATTGTTTTCATAGTTACTCTAATTCAATGTCTTCCAATTCACTTATTACATCGTCATTCATGTCTGTTTTGATGTCACTGTACGATTCAAGATCTTGACTGGATCTCTTTTGGAAAGAGATGGTGAGTTTAAACCAGAGTTTTCCTAATTATTCTTCAGCTGATAAACTCTTGACTTATGAACTCTATTCTGACTTTCTCACACTCAATATCTAACAATATTTATAGTTTTATTTCAAAAAATGAACCCCTGGAATAGAAAGTGATATCTGACTCTAAACAATTTGAAGAGATAGGATTTTAGTTAATTAAATTAAACACTTTACCTGTCACTATAAACTATATTACTCTATACAGTGCAGTAGTTTGACATGTTTCCAAAGCTTTTTAAAACTGGAGTTTATTTATATATCAAAAACAACACTAAATAAAAATTTTCTCTTGTTTGATGTTATTAGTGAGAAAAATTATTCTTGCTTTGCCAAAATGTATGATGTCATCTTATCCACATATGTATGAAGTTGGAGTAATGTTAAATGCCTAATGTTTATCTGAATGATGTTATCTGCATGACACAAAGAACATCACAATGTGGATCCTATATATATTCTTTTCTTGTTGAGTAAGTTCTCCATTATGAGGATTACCTAAGGTCCATGGATTGATTTGATTGCTGTCTGATTTATTTTTGTTATTCTGAAGCAGATTTAAATAGTGGGATTTTGGATTGTTCAAAAAGTAATTTCGTTTTTTTTTATAACTAGAGGAATAGATGTATTTTTACCAGTCAATTTCATTTTAAACCAAATTTTCATTATATACTTTGATAGCTGACATTTTAAGGCTTATTTGTAAAAAATTGTTTGATTCTGTACAATTGTTTTTTTTTTGGTGTCCCATTAAATATGGAAAATCAAAAGCATCATTTTTGGCATATTTTGCTTTTTTATTACCAAAAAACCAAAATGCTGTTCAAACAAGAAAAAAATTGTGGTACATGTATGGAGAAGATGTGTTGAGAGAAAGACAGTGCCAAAACTGGTTTACAAAATTTCATTCTCGCAATTTCAATATTGAAGATGCACCATAGGATGGCCAGATGAAGCCAATAAAACAAAATAAAGGTACTGATTGAAGCAAACTGCCAAATAACAACAGATGAAATCACTAAGAGATTAAATTTGTCAAATTGAACCATTTATGATTACTTGAAATGAACTGGTTTCGTTTCAAAGCTCAATATATGGCTCCACATGTTCTTAAAGAGAGTTTGCTCTCTTTGATGGGATTTTAAGAAATTTTTTTTTGAGCTTTTACCAGACAATTTAACAATTGATTCAAAAGTGTACTTTCATCGCGTAAACAAATTGAGTAATATCATCAAACAAAAAAGGCCAGAATTGATCAACAAAAAAGGTGTAGTGTTTTACCATGATAATGCCAAATTTCACACAAGTTTGGTAAACTTGTCAGAAATTGTTATAGCTTAGATGAGATGTGCTATCACACCAACCATATTCGCCAGATCAGGCACCCTGAGATTAATACTTGTTCTGGTCTATACAAAAGTTTTTAAACTGTAATATATTTACTTGAAATTAAAATGTCAAAAATCACTTGGATCAGTTTTTTGTAAGCAAAGATCAAAACTTTTATGAATGTGGAATCATGCTACTACCAGAAATGATGGCAACAGGTATTTGACCAAAATGGTCAATATATACAGTAGAGCGTCGATTTTCCGAATCAATTGGGGACTGGGGTTGTCTGGATAACTGATTTACGTACGAAAAAATAGTTTAACGTATCCGATGTCAAAATTTTTCTCCGTTGCGTGTCGCTTTGCGTTGAATTTTCGTCGATGTTAAGCCTAACAAAGACTATTGTATCGTTAAAAATTATTTTTTTATTTTGTACAAACAAAACTAAATATATTGAAAAATATAAAAACAATAAAAATTTATACTTCAGATGTTAATTTAGTATCAAAAACGTAAAATATTTGAGTAGCCCAAGACAGCCAAAGATTGAAATGCCACAGCACTGGTGAAAATTTAAATTTGCCGACTGGAATTCTTTCGGATGATTGATGTTTCAGATGACTGACTTTCGGAAAATCGACGCTCTACTGTAATTCAATGTAATATTTATTTATTATAAAAATATTGTTTTTTTCCCACGGGGAAAAAAATTTCTGAACAATCCAATAGAATGAACTTTAGTTCCTCCTTTACGTTGATCTGCTCGTTTAATTTATTTAAGCCTCTTTTGAATACAATTACCCTTGTGTCTATGTTTATCATCTTTTTCTGTATTTGGAATTGTTTGAATTGAGATGTGCAATTTAATTAATCCATTATAGTTTGTATGGGTTTGCTATTGTTCTGATACAAATGAGTTCCTTGAAGGTGTAATTTACATCAGACAAATGAGTGTATGCACTATTAAAAACTCTAAAAAGATGCCATTTTATAAAATGGCATAAGAGAACTGATTGTGTGAGCAAAATAGTATAGGTAAAGGATGGAATAATGATTTTTGGTATAGCCTATATTAATACGGATTTAACTGTTCATAACAGTTGGGTGAAATTTCTCAACATCTAATTCTTTGAAATGATCAGCATTCATGCAAAATAAAAATAGATTTTTAAAAAGGCTATGTTCTAAAATTTAAAGAAGTAAGAAATTAAAATATTTTATGCAGTAGAACCTCGAAAACTCGGCTCTCAATAACCCAGCACTCTGGATAACTCGGCCACACCCTGGCAGGGCAAAAAAATCCTTAATTAATTAATTTTCATTGTAGACAGCTTTATAAAAGTATAAAAGCTCTCATAAAGTATTTTTCTGAGGTCTATCTTATCAAGTAAATTACTGTACACAGTGTATTCATTAATTTTCATTTTCATGTAGTAAAGGTTCTATGTCTTCATAAAAGACGTACTTTTCCTTTGTTTAAGGGTATTTGGGCAGTTTATTCTCTGTTATATTCTCAAGTAAACAATATATACAAGTACAGTACAGTATTTTCTGAGGAAACACGCATACTTATTCTTTTTTAACCACATTCCCGATAACCCGGCATTTTCACAAACTCGGCCACCCTTCGGTCCACATTAGGCTGAGTTTTCGAGGTTCTACTGTATCAAATAAACTTTTAATTTACCTTGATCATTTTCTGCTTTTACTTCAAAAGCTACAGGAGCATCTTCTAGAAATATCTCCCTTGTAGTTGTAACAATTGAAATAGAATGAATAACATCAACGGTCACATCACAACGTAAAGTTAATCCTGTATCTGTATAGATTACATTAATATAAATTTCAATGTAATAAAAAAAAAAAAATAACTAAAATAAAGTATTAAAGCTATATTAATATATTTTAAAAATTTTTATTCACTTATTAATATAATTTAATACACTAATAACCTTCATCAGTTGCAACAACAATAACAGAATGTCTATCATGATAAGGAGAAACAGCAGACAAAACGACTTTGGTTGTACATATACGATCAAGATTTTCTTCCACCGGTGTAATAGATATAACTTCTTGGCGTGATGATGACCTAAAATGAAATTTTTATTTTAAATAAAAATGTCGCTCAATCAATAATCATTATATATTCTCTTAACATTTAATAAAATAAAAAATAGAATAAAAACTTTAAATTTTTAAATTTTTTTAAAAACTTTAAATTTATTATAAAGTATATATAATTCTTTCTTTTACAAAAAATTGAAGTATTTTCATATTTAACATAATGTAAAATTTAAAGCAGAAGCAAAAATATATCAAGATTAATTACAAAAGTTTGAGTTGACATCACATCAGGATTAATAAATAAAACAGAAAAAAATCATGATCTAAAGATAGACAAGTGTTTTTTTTTAGTTATAATTTTAACTCAGATTAAAAATAAATAAACTGCTGGCTAATACTTTTGATAAATTATACTTATCTTCAGGCAATTAAATTAATTAAAATTTGAATAATGTTCATCTTTAACACAGTTACATAGAATGCTATTCTATTTTAAAATATACATACTTGAAGATTTAAATAATCACAATAATAGAAATAAACATAATTGTATAATAAAATAAGTTTTAAATATTAAAATTTCTTTCTGAAGTTTCATAAAGTACAATCTTATGCTGCAGAAGGTTAAAGTGGATCTATTAAATAGCTTAAAATATATAAAAGTTTCCTGCATGTAAACAACCCAAAATTTGAGTTGCTTGTGCATAGTTTTTTCTTTTATATCATTGAGGTCATTTAAATCTTTAAATTAATATTTTAAAATGTGTGCACTATGTAAATGTGCTCAAAATGAAAATAATTTAATAATTAAATACATACTGAAAATATGCACTGACTATTATCTGTTATATGGTGACCTCCAGCATATTTACTGGTGCAAAAATTCAGATACCTACTAGTATAATTTTTAAAATGTTACCATAACTTTATATAAATTACACTAGAAAAAGTAGAAAACCTAAAATAATAAATAAAATTACCATTAATTTCATGCTGAAAACTTGTAGGTTATCAGCATTTCAAATTGTCTTTTAAACACAGTTAACAAAGAGTTATATTTAAAAAGGAGGTTTAAAAAGAGTGCAAGTTGTGCAATAGGTGGGTTATATGCTGGTTTTCAATTGCAATTCATTGTGCGACTTTTTTTTTCCTAAGTCACTAAGCATTTCTTAAAAAAAAAAAAAAACCCAGCCTGTGTGAGCAAAACACATTCTTCAGCCATCATAATTTTCCATAAAAAAAAAACATGTATACAGGTAACTCCCCGTATAACACGGCACTTCTATAGCACAGATTCACTCTGACACGTTTCGAGAATTGGGTAAAACCCTCGTACAACATGAAATGTAATAAATTTTTACATACTTAAGTAATAATAATTCATGAAAATTATTATTTTTGTGAACTATTAGTACTTAAGTATGTAAATTTTCTTTTCTTGCCTTCTGTCGGTACACATGGTCCTTCTCGAAACTTGTTTCAATGTTGCCAGATCTCAATGCTTCTGCTTCTGATGTTGCCAGATGTTTTCCCCTTATTCCATACTTGCTTTATTCTTCATAACTGCTTAGCATCATATAAGGAAATTTATAAAGATCTTTTAACTAGAAGCAAGCAATCTAAAATTACATACTTTTTGCAAAAGGTAAAGCATGGATCTGAAGATAATGCAGAAAATTGCTCAGAGGATAAGGATAACTTGCCAAAAAGAAAACACTCTCAGTTAGTACTTTTAGTGATGACTTTTACAATAGCACTTTTAGTGATGACGAAGAAAACATTGTCTAATTTATATTAATATGTATCACTTAAAAAAATTTTAATAAAGATATTTATCTTAATTATGAAAATATAATAGCATGTTTTTTAATTTTTGGAACCTAACCTCCTTTTCATACTAGTTCTTTGTTTTGTATAACACGGATTTGCATAACACAGCAATTTTTTGGAACATAACTACTGTGTTATATGGGGGTTACCTGTACATATATATCTTGCCTTTAGTTCTTTCAATTTTTTTTGTCCTATCCAATTTGTGTTTTAACTCATATTATTAAACACTCCTATTTGAATTTGTAAATGGTAATTATCAGTTTTCAAGAAATCATCTCCTATCTAATTAATGACCTCATTTCAGAGAACTTTGACAGTTAAGACATGATAATTGTAATTCTAATAAGCTATAAACTCATTTTATTGCTAGAAAAAGAAATCTGATGACTAAAAAGAATTTTTAAAATATTTAAAATGACAGCCCTAACTTAACTGTATGGTGTTTCATTTTTGTTTAAGCACAACAAAATTACTTTGTAATTTTTGCTAACAAAATCAAAACTTTCAAAAATCATAATAATTTCAGCTTGTTTCATTTTTCAAACTGTAGTGCAGAAATTTGTTTTACATTAATCACAGTAACATTGACATACAATTTAAAATACTGTTAAATGACTTTAAAATTAGAACACAATGAAGTTAGAATTAGAATTTAGTAAGTTCTTTCTTTTTCATTCTACTGTATATCACTCCATAAATATGCAATAAACAATGTGGTAAGTTACACAAAGTTTTCATTTCCATTCTAACAATTTTCAGGGGAGAGTTGTATGCCATCATTGTTATCTGAACAAAATTATGATAATTAAAATACAAAATACTAAAGAAAAACTAAACTACCTAAATTTTTACTTCAAAAGTACAAAAAGCTAACAAACATAAATTTTCTTTTTATTTTTATAGAAGAAATTTGTTTGACATTTAATTATTTTGGAAATTTTTTGCAAAAATCTGTTTTTTCAATAATTCCAGTCCATTAATTAAATACACGTGTGTATTCATGACAAAATGTGTACTTATATCTATAGCTGTTAATAGAATTTTTTTTTTTATCAGATCAAATGATTTTTGTAATTTTGAACTTAAGACAATGAATTATTCATAGTACTAGCCATTGATCCTCTAGACCAGGGGTAGCCAACAAGTCGATCGCGAAGCCAATTTTGGTCAATCACTCGCGATGTCTTGACTTAATGTGTTACACTTGTAACCGAATGCAACTGTAGTGATATCAGACCTCTGTGTCCTCCCTCAGATGCAGTTTTGTCAGTCCATGTGCAATCCATTTGCATACAGTTGTAAAAGAGGAATAAGAAATGTAGACAAAGGTCATAAAACAAAACAAAACAAACAAAAAAAAAAAAAAAAAAAAAAAAGGAAACGTGGGAAGAGAGACAGAGAGAGCAGGTTGGGATACAGTAGAGAGAGAGGAAGGGTGAGGTGGTGGTTCCTGAAAGTGACAACATTGAGTTTCAATTTCTCTGATGTTTAAAATATAAGTACCTTTTCTTCATGTTTTAAATTAAATTGTGGCTTTTCTTACCTATCTTACTTATAGTATTTCGCACTTTCCCCCTCACCACTTAGACTATGCCTACAACAACAAGTTGATTGAGACACATTTTTAAGATAAAAAGTAGATCTTATGTACACGAAAGTTGGCCACCCCTGCTCTAGACAAAATTATTGAAGCACTTAATTTCTTTCTTGTGTTATTTTCAGGTCTTGCTTTGAAAGTAATTTGGTTGTTTTCATTAAGTGCATGCCAACTGACAGTTTTATCAACTTAGTTTAAAGTACTAAATAATAACACATAATATTAATGCATTTATGAACAAATGGGTAAATTATATAAGATCATTATCTTATATAATTTTGTCCATTTTCAATAATTACAAAAATCCTTGATCTGATCTTGACCTTGGTCCCTTGAGTTTTGAAATAACAAGGTTTTACTGTATTGATATATGCAATACTTATATTATCTATATATCTTATATATATATAAATGAGGATGTATATTTGTTCACTACACACTCCTAGGCCACTCAACCAATTGCTACAAAACTTCGCAGCTATGTTAACATACTTCTAACTTCAATAATGTCATATATTCCATCCCAAAATATCTATTGGATTTCTGTAAATCAATTAATTTCTATCTACATTTGATTTACTGATTTACATGTAGTGCCATCTATTGGCAAAAAATTTTACAAAATAATAAACTAAATATAATTCATATTAAAAAAAATAATATAATTTAAAAATATATATATTTTATATCCACTTAATTACTACAACAATGATATAGCATGAAATAGACATGCTATATCATTGTTATTGAGACAGGTAGCATATAGCACTTCTCTGCATGGAATTGAAGTGTTACCTTGTGAAAACTCTTAAGTACTGTCGACCCCCTATAACGCGGTAGATACATTCCACTTTATAAGAATTTTATGTTGTAAAATCCTTAAATACATGAGCCAATCACAGCCCAGCATGTGTGCAGTTTACGGACTACGGCTGTTTGAAAGGTTTTCTTCCATAAAATTAATCGATTCTACACTAATTTGACTCAACATTTCCAAAACACGTATAATTTTTTGGGAATAATCCGTATAAACTATGCTATAAACAAAAATTGTAGGATTACTTACCGAGTGTGCACCGTTCAATGACGCCATTGCTTAAGCTTGTTGTCGTGGAGCAGCGCACCAAAAGGCGGGCGCATTTTCTGATAAGTTATTTTTTTGCGAAAAATTCGCTGAACTTTGGAGACATCATTAATAGAAATAATTTTTATGGCCATTGAATAAGAAATGTTTTTTTCACAAGAAATGTATAAAATTACAGTACTGTATTAGACTTACAGTACCT